CCTGCCCCCCCCCCGCCCCCCCGCCCCGTAGCCGTACTGCTACAGCTGGGGAGTCTTGGGGCTGATCCCTTCCTACTCCCCCCATTGCCAGATTTGGGGAGCCGTGGGACTCCTCCTTCCCCTTCCTCTAGTCCTGGAGGATGGCGTTCATCCCCTGCCACATTGCTCATTGCTGTAGGTCGCTCCTGGGGGTCTCTCAGTACTGCCCAGGCCCTCAGTGAGGTAATCCCCAGGCACACGGGGGGAGAGACGGCAAGTGCATGGGATCCCCTAACTGCTTAGGGCAGGGATCCTGCCTGGGCAGCCTCATGCAGGAACTGCAAAGGGTGACCTGGGGGCTGCATGGACATGGACAAGGTAGTCTGTTGTGGGTTGTTTCCTCCCAAGGGTGCTGGTTGGAGAGGGGCTTTGGACTCGGGGCTGGGGAGGAAGGGAAGAAATAGAGATCAGGCAGGGAGAGCGGCTGTGACCTACCCCAAGAGACCATGCAGGGAAAGTGGCTATATTTGTGGGGGTGCCAGGGTGTGGGGGCAAGGAACAAGTGAGCCCATCCTGGCTCCCTCTGAGTGAGTCCAACTTTCCAGTGAGCGCTGGCACGAAGGAGGCTGCTCTGGGGCTGGGAGGCATCTGGCCCCACACAGTGTTGTTGTAGTCCCAGTATGAGACTCGCTCAGCCTCCTCTTTGCTCCAGTCTCAGCACCTCTCTCTGTAGCAGCCCCAGCCCTGTAGCCCTGCAGGGGCTGCAATGCTTGCTCTTGCCTTGGGCACTGAGACCTTCCCTAAGTGTGTTATCATGGGGGATCCAGCACCTCCAGGACTGTGGGGCAACAGGGGAGGGGTAGCACCCTCCCATGCAGAGGAGTCTGGGGTAGGGGAAGGCTCTGCCTGGGGAAGGAGTCAGATCAGGGCTCCCTGTGGAGTCTGGATGCATCTGGGCTGGGCTGTCCCCTCTTTCTGTGTCCCTGCTAACCTGGTGTCAGCCTGTGTGTGTGATTCCTGCTTCTAGAGACTAACGGTGCCAGCCCGCCCTGGAGATGCTGCTGTGCCCAGCTTGGGGCGTCATTCCTGGTGCTGCCCTGGGTGGGCATTGAACCTTCTTTTCTTCCCTCTGCCTCTTTCAGGGAGGAGCCAAAAGAGTCGGCCCCGGCGGACGGGACAGCCAGCGAGGAATCGGAGGCAGCTGTGCCTGGGGAGCAGGAGTCCAGTGAGAAGAGCACAAAGGTGTGTGAGAGAGAAGGGGACTCCTGTGTAGCTGGGGAGGGGCCCTGTGCAGGGACTTGTGTGGAGGCAGGGGTAGAGGAGGGTAGCTCAGCAGTAGCTGGGTGCAAAGGCACACAGAGAGCCTACTGTACCCCCTGTGCTTCCCCAGGAGGGTGCCCTGTGGGTCTGAAAAGGGGCTCGAGGGTGCCCAGATTCATCCCTGTAGCTCCCCTGTCTAATTTCCATCGCTTTCAGTCAGAGGAGGACAGACCAGACCAGGCCGAAGAGGAGCTGGGGTCCTGGGAAGAGACATTCAAGACCCACACGGACAGCAAACCCCATGGTGAGAGCACTTGACTTGTTCTCCTCCCCTCAGGCCCCTATGTGGGGTACCTAGAGCAGCCACAATGATCATGTAGGAGACTGGGTCACAGGAGAGGGACTTCCTCAGGCAGACAGTGTGCAGGGAAGTGAGTGGGGCTCGGGGAGTGGAGGGGTCCAGTGGGTTAGAGCTGTGGGGCGGGGACTCAGGATTCTATTCCAGATCTGCCTGTGGCCTTCAGCTAGTTGCTTCCTGGTCATGCCTGTTTCCCCTCCTACCCTGCCATTGAGTCTGATCTGTCAGCTTGGTTGAGGGGGGGGGTCTCTGCAGTTCCCATGGAGAGGACACCAGGCTAGATGGGCCCATTGCTCTGATCTGGGCTAGAGGGGCCTGTTGCTCTGACTCGGTTGGGGGAGTAGGGGGGTTGATGGGGCTGCCTGCTGCTCTGACCTGGTGGGAGTGGAAGGGAGGTGTGAGGGACAGCTGGAGGGGCCTGTTGCTCAGAGGGACGGGTGCCCCTGCCTACTTTGCCCCTAGAGCTTTTGCTGTGGTGGCACTAGCAGTGGGAGTTACGCTAGATCCCAGCCTGTACAACCTGAATGGGATCCCAGTGCTGGGGTAAGAGGGCTGTTTTCTGGGTAGGGCTTGGTGGTGCCGTGCTGCCCTAAGCCCCATGGGCTGCTGGGAGCTGCAGCAATATCACAACCCCTACTTTCCAGGGCCGACCTCAGTGGGGCTGGATTTCTCACTGCCGGGCTTTGAGCATGTCTATGGGATCCCGGAGCACGCCGACAGCCTGCGCCTGCGCACCACCGAGTGAGGAGGGGCCTGCTGGCGCCACTGGGGGGTTTCTGGGCCTGGCAGAGGAGGGGCACTGGCAGTGTTCCCTCTAATTTGTTATGGCCATGAGTGGAGTGAATTTTGTTCTGGGCACCCATATGGAGGTGATGAGTCACACATCCCGCCCGTGTCACACCATCTCCATATGGGTACACATAACACACTGCATTCTGCACTTGAATGATCTATAGTGGGAGTGGAACTGGGGGAGACTCAGGGTTGGGGGGTGAGGGGCGGAAGGGTTGGGTGAAGGCTTGGGGTAGGGGTCTGGGATTGAGCTGGCAATCAGAAGTTTTGGGTATGGGCTGACCCCAGTGTACTCTCACCACAGCTGCTCTGGGCAAGGCGAGAGGTGCCTCTCTGCCAGCCGTGGCAGCTCCCGTGAGGCAGGGGGTGCCCCTCTCTCCCAGCTACGGCAGATCCCTGCTTCTGGAATGGCAGGGGGAGAACTTTGAGAAGGTGCCTCTCCCTCGGCTGGTCGTGCTGGGGCTGGAGAAGCACATCTCTCCCCCAGCCATGGTAGCCCTGAGCCCCTGCATGGGGCTTATTAAGTGGCCATGCAGCTTAGAGTGAACCCTAGGCTCTGAGCTGATTGGGGGGGATGAGAGGGCGTGCTGCCCTTGTTGTGGCTGAAGGGCTGTTGGAGGAGGGAGTGCTGCTTTGCTCAGGATTGGGGAGGGGCAGTGACCCAGTGTGTCCCCACAGGGGGGGTGACCCATATCGCCTCTATAACCTGGACGTGTTCCAGTATGAGCTGTACAAACCTGCTTGCCCACAACACCCAGCGCACCGTGGGCATCTTCTGGCTCAATGCTGCCGAGACCTGGGTCGACATCAGCTCCAACACAGCTGGCAAGGTATGGGGGCACCGGCTCCTGCTGGGCTGGAAGGTGCATGTGTCAGAAATAGGGATGTAAAATCTCATGTAACTGGTTAAATGTAATATTTAACCAGTTAACTGTTTAAAGGGGGAGGGGTGGGCAGGCTGGAGTAACACAAACTCCCTCTCAATGCTGCCGAGACCTGGGTCGACATCAGCTCCAACACAGCTGGCAAGGTATGGGGGCACCGGCTCCTGCTGGGCTGGAAGGTGCATGTGTCAGAAATAGGGATGTAAAATCTCATGTAACTGGTTAAATGTAATATTTAACCAGTTAACTGTTTAAAGGGGGAGGGGTGGGCAGGCTGGAGTAACACAAACTCCCTCCCCCCGATGCTGACAGAAGCTGCTCCATCCAGGCTGAAGCACCCCCCACCCACATTGGGCCCCATGGGGCTGGTGCAGGCAATTGCCTGTGGTGGGTGGGGATCTGTTCCAGCTCCCACTGATTAACTGGAACTAGTGAGGCTTACTGGTTAACCATTCACATCCCTAGTCAGAAATCATCTGCTGGGGGAGCCTGGCTTGAGGGAGTGTCTCAGCTCTAGAGGGGGAGTGGGTTCCAAGCCAGGTTAAGGAGTCTGGCTCTGTTGTGGCATGGGGCTGGCCCTGGGGGGAAGGAGGGGGACAGTGTGGGAGATGGTATTCTCCTCTCTATTGCTGACGGCTCCCCCTACAGACACTGTTTGGGAAGATGCTGGATTACATGCAGGGGGGTGGCGAGACCCCCCAGACTGACGTGCGCTGGATGTCGGAGAGTGGCATCATCGATGTCTTTCTGCTTCTGGGGCCTGCTCCCAGTGACGTCTTCAGGCAGTACACTACCCTGACGGGTATGGGCTGGGGGTGGCATGGCACTGATGGGTCTAGTTGGTGGTGGGACAGGGGATATGTGGCCCAGATGGGTACAGGTGTGGGAAGGGTGGGGACAGTGTTTTTGCAGCATTGATGGATGTGGAGAAGCAGGGATGAGGTTAAGTGGCACTGATAGGTTCAGAGTGGTGTGGAGAGTAAGGGCTGGGTCAGGCCAAGCTGGGGGTTGCTGCACAACCTTGTCAGTGGGGCCAGGTGTAAAGGGAAGGGTGGCTCTGTGGATGCCCCATGCATTGGTTCCTATTTGCCCCAGGCACACAGGCCCTGCCCCCGCTCTTTGCCATGGCCTATCACCAAAGCCGCTGGAACTACAATGATGAGGAGGATGTGGCTACCCTGGACGAGGGCTTTGACACGCATGACATCCCCTGTGATGTCATCTGGCTGGACATCGAGCACACTGATGGCAAGCGCTACTTCACCTGGGACTCCAGCAAGTTCCCCCAGCCCCGCAACATGCTGGGGCATCTGGCCGCCAAGAGACGCAAAGTGAGAACCCCACTGGCACCCACTCACGCCCCCAAAGCTACGTTCCTGAAAACCACAGTCCCATCTCCCACCCCTGCAGCGTACTGAGCCAAGAGATAGAAGGGGAAAGGCTCTCACTCCTGTGAGCCACTAGGGCAGCTGCTGGCAGGAGGCTCCATGTGAGGCTCCTGCAGAAGTCCATGGGCATGAGTCCAACTTATGAGAATCTCCCCTCCCAACCTAAGTGACCAGAACTGCCCCACCCCACTGACCCCTCTCGGGTTGTTCAGATTTCTCACCTCTCCACCCAGATGGTGTCCATTGTGGACCCGCACATCAAGGTGGACAGCGGGTACCAGGTCCACAACGAGATCCGCTCCCGTGGCTTCTATGTCAAGACCAAGGATGGCAGCGATTACGAGGGCTGGTGCTGGCCAGGTGAGCTGGTGATGCCAGCTGTGTGGGTGACTTGACTTGCTGGGATGGTGGCCAGGGCTGTGGCCCAGGTTAGGTTGGGGTGCCAAGCAGAGTGCTATGCGTGGGGCCCCTGGGGTGTCACTAACTCTCCCCTTCTCCCCCAGGCTCGGCTGGCTACCCTGACTTCACCAACCCTGAGATGCGTGCGTGGTGGGCCAGCAAGTTCTCCTATGACCAGTATGAGGTAGTGTGGAGGTGGCACCATAGGTGGGGAGGGGAGTCATTGGGTGAGTCATCCCCACACTGGGGTGCCTTGACTCAGCAGTTTTCCCCATGTGGGGTGGGTGGCTAGGGTGCTGCCTGTGTCTCATTCCCATCCCTGTTCCCTAGGGCTCCATGGAGAACTTGTACATTTGGAACGACATGAATGAGCCATCTGTGTTCAATGGCCCCGAGGTGACAATGTACAAGGATGCCCTGCACCAGGGCGGCTGGGAGCACCGTGACCTGCACAACCTCTATGGCTTCTACGTGGTGAGGGGGCAGGAGACCTTGGGGGGCGGGCACCGCCGCCTGCATAGCCTACTTGGTGAGGAGGCAGGGGCACTGCTGCCTTCATAGCCCTCTTCACAGTGAGGGGAGGCACCTGGAGTGTTGAGAACTTGAGCCTGCAAACCTTTGCGGGCAGAGAGTCATCGCATGGCTGGGATCCTGGAGGGTGGGGAAGTCTTCCCC